AAGCGAAACCGAAAACTGTCAAATTGCGCGTTGTGTGAAGGGGGGATAATTCGCATTCATAATTGAGAGGAAGAACTGCCGTGGAAAAGCCGTATTAGAGATATACTCCTACCGGCTTGGTGTTTAGCGACGAATGTGATAAAGCTCAGTTTATCGATACTTTTTTATCTTCACGATAGTCGAGCGGTTAGGTATTGTCACAGTTGATCCAAGACACGAACCTTAAAGGCGAAAGTTTTCTTCTTAATCTCTCTCTAAAAATTCAACATGCACAAATAAACTAGTATTTAACTAGTAGGAAGCTGATGTATAAGTAAATAATTGAAATTTATTTTCTATATTTCAGTGTTAAAAATGCCAGTCGATAATCTCATTTTAATCTACATCTAAAAATGCAAATTACTAGCATTTTAATCTACAAACCGGCGGGAAATGTCTGCAGCGGTGATATGTACATACATATAAATATATCTACAACTAGTATATTTCACTGCAGGTCAAGTACTAAAGTAAGTCTATTACATAATTTTGATTAAACGTCATAAGCAGATTTTTTGATTTGATTTCTTGGTAGTACAAAAGCAGTTTCAATATCGAAAAAACATAAAAAAGGTTGCTTAAATACCTTTCATTTACTTGAAGCTGTAATATATTTAACTCTAATTTGATTGATTTCAAAACAATTGTAAATATGTATAAGTAATGAATAAATATGTGTATATATATTTCAAACCTTACGACGAAAAATACATGAAATTCCTCACGATTCGTATCTGAAATGCATTAATGGAAAGTCAATCACTTTGTATTGTACAGCATTCATTCTGCTTTTGGTTATTTTACTTTCGAATGCCAACAAGTAAATAAAAATAGAAGAAAAAAAAACGCAAAAACAATTCCAAATATATATATATATCATTAGGCATTTTTTTCGCGCTTAATTTGCCTACAAGTCTAATTCTGGCATTGGAAGAAATCGCAAATACAAATAAATTGATCTTTGAAATATTTTTACATTTGTAAGCGTTATAAGCGCTATAAAGTTCTCAAGTGTAAAATGTTAATGAATAAATCCAAAGTTTAACCACAGTACATTATCTCTCAGTCTTTCATGTGTGTGTGTGTGTGTTTGTGTAGTATAAATCAAGTTTTAATTTCGATTCCGCTTCTATGAAAACTTAATAAGCATTTAATCTTTGCTATGATTTTTGCGGATGCGGATAGCTATTACGTTATTTCGTATCGTATTGACAATATGCGGTTATTGCATGAATGATGCATTTAATCAAATAAGTAATAAAATGTGCATGCCGGTGTGTCAGTATATACGCGGCACTCTTTGTGTTTCCTTTCTCACCATTGAGCACCCTATTCGTATGAAAAATGCAATGCTCAAAGTGGTTGTTCTGTTGTTTATGTTGTGAATTTGTTTTTATTTGTTTTTTTTTTTTTGCTCTGAGAGCAACAAAAAAATAATACAACAAAAAAGTCACTTGTTGTTTGCAATAGTAAAAATAATCACCTTTTAGATAATAAGCCGGTCACGTAGTGGGATACATGAAGACATTTGTATGCAAGTTGAAGCATTAGTGTATACCTAATTTTATCTTTTTTTTTATTTAATCTCTTTTTTAACTTTACTTCACATTTGTATGCCTAATTTTATCTTCTTTATTTAATCTCTTTTATTTTAGCTTTACATTTTACTTTTAACTTTATTATTTTATTTGATTTATTTATTATTATTTATTTTTATTTTGCTTTACTTTATATTTTTTATAGATTTTTTACAGATTTTTATATAAAACATATCTTTTTAGTTAATTTTATTATTACATATTATTTTATTTTTCTCATTTCTTTATTCCATTTATTTATTTTTTTTTTTTTACTTTATTTTCATTTTTTTTTTTCAATTTGCTTTTTTTTACTACTTTATTTTAAATTTTTCTTAATTTGTTTTTTTTTTATTTCTTTATTTTTTTTTTATTTAACCATTATTATTTTTTATTTCACTTTTTGTTGTTTTATTTAATTTTATCCTTTCTCTTATTTTTGTATTTCATTTTATTTTTTTATTTTTTTTTAATTTTTTTTCATTTTATTAACTTATTTATTTATTTTTTCTTTGTCTTGCTTTGTTTTCTTATTTTATCTAATTTCTTTTTCTATTTTTCTATGTTTTTTTTTTTTTTTACTTATAAGTCTTTAACTCTTCGTTTTTATATATTTTATTTTGTTTTGAATTTAATTTAGGTTTTTTTATTTTAGATACTTAAATTTAATTTAAATTTATTTTAATTTTTTTTCTGGTTTATTTTCTTTTATTTCAATAATTTTTTATTGTTTTTATTTAAAATTTTTTTTTGTGTTTATTTTATATCATTTTAATTAATTCTTTTAATACATATTATTTCGTTTTTTTATTGGAATTTCTATATTTTTTTACTCCTTTATTTTTTATTTTAATTTTTATTGTTGTATTTCATTTCATTTCATTTTATTTTCGTTTTTTATTTGTGTAAATTCACTGTTTTTTTTTATTTTTTCTAGTCTGTGCTTCTTAATGTTCTTATTTATTTCTTTATTTTTTCATTTTAGATTATTTCATTTTTTTGTTTTGATTTTGTTTTGATTTCTTTTAAGTTATTTTAATTTATTTTGGTTTTCTTTAATGTAGTTTCCTTGGTTTTATTTTATTTCATAAAATTTTATTGTATATTATTTTATTTTATTTTGCATTACTTTAATATTATTTTATAATATATTTTTTATTCTAATTTATTTCATTATTTTTTAGAATTTTATTATGTTTAATTTTATTAATTTTTTTTTTAGTTTACTTTATTTTTTTCCTTGTAATTTAATTTCACTTTAGATTATTTTATTTTCTTTTTTATTTCATTTCATTTTATATTATTTTTTATTATTTAATTTTACTTTATTTTTTTTCCTTTTTACTTAGCTTATATTTTTTATTATATCTTTGCTGTTATTTAACTTTTTAATTTGTTATTTTGTCTCATTACATTTTATTTTAATTAAATGAGTTCATTTTTTCAATCTTTACTTTATATTATTATTAATTTTTTTATTTTCTTTCGTTTTTAATTTTTTTTAAATTAATTTGGTTAAATTTAATACTATATTATTTTTTTCCTTTTGTATTTGATTTCATTCAATATTTTTTATTATTTGAATTTATTTTTAATTTATATGTTTATGTTTTACTTAATTTTAATTTAATTTATTTATGTTATTTTAATTTATATTATTTTATTAACTTATTCCAAAATATTTTTTATATATATGCTATGTTGTTTAACAGGTATATTCAGACCTCACGTACTTCATGTAAATCAAAATTATTAAATGAAAATTCCTTAAGACTTATATGCATTTTAAGCTAACCTTAAAGTCATACGTAATACATACTATACTCGTATACGAGTATGTAGGTACATACATTTGTGTTTATTTATAACAATTTTCGCATATGTATACAGACATCGCTGCATTAAAAGCAAACAATCAACTTTTTTCTTTTTTAGCCGTTTCATACTTGAGCCAGAAGATATAAAATACAAAATAAAGAAACAAGATTTACTAAAAATAAATATGTATGTATGCATGTGTATACATATATATACATATACAATGCGTTTTTACCGCATCAAGTTTTTTATTTTTAATGACAGTGCCGGTCACAAGTGATTAAATGCATATATACGAGTATAAGTGTGAAATTGATTATATATTTTATTCGTAATTAAATAAAGACAACTGAAGATAAGTCTTTTTTTTCTTAAATTCCGAAGTCTTAAGCTAGTGAATTTATTACATACTTGGTTTGTACTTGAGCTTAAATAAAAATAAGTTATTTATCGTCAAACTGTCGTTTCCAAATTTTAACGTATTTGCCTCATTGCTTATGGAATTTTATTTAAAAATAGGATATATATGTGCCTAAAATTTATAATATTATTGAACTTGAATTTTGATGAAAATTCATATGGAAGACCTTTTTTATTATAGAAAAAAAATTTATTTCATTTTATGTTAGCTGAATTTAATTTTCATTTAAAATCTTCTATTTTAATTGTTTATTATTTATCAACTTTATAATCATATTTTAATTTTGTATGTGTTTTATTTTACCTGTTTTTATTATCTTATTTCTTTTCATTTATTATAATATGTTTTATAAATTAATTTTATTTTTTATTTAACTTTATTTTTTTTATATTAATTTCGTTTACTTTATTTTAATTTCATTTATTTTGTTTTATTTCTTTGTTATATTTATTTAATTTTAGCTTATATATTTTTTAATTTTCATCAATTTTTTTTTCAAATTAAGGTGCGACATTGCGTATGCGTAATAAAATTAATAAAGACGTTAAGTATACGCCGTCGCACAATTAATTCCTACCTTCGTCCCAGGGATGGTGTTTAGTGGAACGGCGAGGTTTTCCATTACGCTTCCTTTGTTTCTTTTCCTCCTTCTTCTCCTCCATTATGCGAGTATGGCAGTTGTGATTTTTTTCGTCTTATGAAATTCTGACGTCACTTTCGGGTCACTTTGGTGAATTACTGCACAATAAAAACGCGTTTTCACATATACACTTGAAAATAAGTCAGGCGAATGAGTGTATAAAAAAGATTACTTGATTTGTTTGTATTTTTTTTTTGTTGTATTTTTATAAAATTATTTACACGTTGTAATCAATTGGTATTTTTAAGAGAAGGTGTGTTGCACTTTGTATGCATATACAATATATAAATATGTACATATGTATATGTCGAAGTGTATTTCAAATTATGTATTTATGCAAGCTATACGTTGCTTTGTGAATTTGAAATAAAATTTATTTTTATTTCTATACAATTTTATGGCTGATTGTATGTAATTTTCCATACATCGTGTACACGAAATTCGCGCTCATTTGCAGTTCTCCACTGGTCGGTCGGTCAGTTTTTCCTTCGCTACGCTTATTTTCGCTGTCGCTTTTGCCGTCACCACCACAGAAATTTGCGTTATTTTTGTCGAAATTCAAATAAATTTCACATACACATTTTCGTAAAACCGCCAATATATATATATATACTATGTGGATCACACAATTTCCGTTATAGTATTTTTACTTTATTATTTTTTAATTTTTGCTGACATTTTTTCTTTAAATTTTTTCTTTTAGCGCATTCATTTATGTTCTTTTTTCACTTTTCTAAAGTTATTTTTAATGTGATGATTTAAAATATCATTTCGTTGAGTTTTCATTTGGCACAGCGCTGTGGTGGTTGACTGTTGATGCTGTTGTTGTTGTTTCTAAAATTTGCTGGCTGTGGGAGTGAATATTATAAAAAATGATTTTTAGTAAGATGAAAAGAAAAATAACTAAGCGGTATACATTTTTATGCATTTAATACACTTTCAACGAATAAAAAATATGGTTTGAATTTTCTTTGAAATTGTAATTTTTGTGAAAATTTTAAAATAATGTTTCACTTATTATATCAATTCGTTTATTTAAGATTTATTTATTTTATTCTTCGATTTCGGTTAATACAATTTTATTTTTTTTCATTTGATTTTCATTTATTTATTTAAAGTTATCTTTAATTTACATCATTTTAATTTATTTTATTTTTTTATTTCGTGTTTTTTAGTTTAATTTCTTTTAATTTAATTTTTTAATTAATTTAATTCAACTTATATCGTTTTTTAATTACACTCAATTTATATGCTGCTATTTTATTTTTATTTTAATTTTTTATGTTGTACTTTTAAAATAGTTTTTCATTAGTACGTTTTAATTTAATTTTTCTATGCTTTATTATATTTTTTATTTTATTTTACGTTTACTTGTTTTTGTTTATTTTATTTTACTTTATTTTATTTTACGTTTTTTTTTGCTTATTTTATTTTATTTGCTTTTTCGTTTTTTATTTAATTTAATTTATATGTTTATACTAAATTTAATTTAATTTTATTATTAATTTTAGTTAAATTTGAGTTTATTCATTTTAGTTCATTTAATTTAATTTTCTTTATTTGGGTTATTGTTTCTTGCTTTTTTGTTTTACTTTATTTTATTTTATTTTTATAATTTTGTTTTTTGTTAGGCTTTATTATATTTACTATATTTCATTTTAATTTTATTGTTTAAATTTTCTTATTTGATTTAATTTAATTTCAATTCATTTAATTTTATTTCAATTTTTATTATTTCATTTTAGTTTATTTAATTTAATTTCATTTTTTTTTTTTTAAATTTTATTGTGTATTAAATTATTTAATTTAGTATTCTTCTGTTTTAGGTTTTTTTTCTTAAATTTTTCATTGTATTTTAGTTTCTTATGATTCATTTTTTATTATTTTCTTAATTTTATTATATACTGTTGTATTTAATTTTATTAATTTTTATTTACTCTATTGAATTTTGTTTCAACTATTTCATTTTATTTTAGTATATATTATTTAAATTTTTATTTAATTTAATTTCTTTTTCTCTTTTTTGTTTATATTATTATTTATTTATTTTACTTTATTTCATTTCATTTTTATATTTGATTTAAATTTATTTCATTTTTGGATTTTTTATTTATTTTTTTTTTTTTTGATTTGATTTGATTTTATTTCACTCTATTTTTCATTTTTATTATTTTATTTTAATTAATTTTAATACTTTTACGTTTTGTTTTATTTATTTCATTTTACTTTATTTTTTATCTGTTTTTTCCTTCTATTTTATATCATATCATTTTACTCTGTTCAAGTCTAACCTTTTTTATTTCATTATTTTATTTTATTTTCCTAAAATACCTTTATGTTTTGTTTTATTTATTGCATTTCATTTTACTTTAATTTTTTTATTTGTTTGTTTTTCGTCTATTTTGTTTCATATCATTTTACTCTGTTCAAATCTATTCCGCTTTATTATATTTTTTTTATTTTATTTTGTTCCATTTTGTTTTATTTTATTTTATTGTATTCCAAATTATAATATTATATAAATTTATTTATTATAAGTAATTTTTGTTTAGTAAAATTCTTGTCTTATTCTTTATTTTGTTTTATTTTATTTATCTTCATTTTATTTTATTTTATATCATTTAAATTATTTTATTTCACTTTATTTTAATTTTTTAATTTTAAATTATTTTATTTTATTCTTTTCCAAATTAAAATATTATATAAATTTATCTTGTGATTTTTCTTTAATGAAATTTATATATTATTCTTTATTTATTTTTATTTTAATTTGCGTTGTTTTATTGTTGTTGTTTTGTGTTTAGTATTTTAAATTTTTATTTCTTTTTTTATTTTTTTTTTTTTGCTATTTAAACACGCGCACTTTAGTCCCCTTCTTAGCTCTCACTCAGCGTCTAAACGTGAACTAATTGACTGTTTGATGCTTGCATTTAAACAAAGCCATCCAGCAGCTTCTATCATTGAATCGTGTGTACGAATCGTGTGTTGAAGCCCGTCAGGTTGCTCATATTGTTATTATTTATTGTTGTAGTCGTTACTAGCATTACTATCACATCTGCCGGCGTAGTCGCTTCATTGCGCTTTAATTTCAACGCTCTGAACTCTCGGCATTCGGCATATCTCACACTCAAATTGTGGCTCTCTAAACAGATTGTCAAGCACTGTTTGACATTATGTTAAAACCCGGTTCATTTAGGCACACACTTTTATTTGCTTAAGTTAATTAGTGGTCGCTGAGGCTTATAGTTCACGCCGACTTTAGAAATGTGGAATTTTTGCACACTTTTTTATTAAAATCAATTTAATTTTTTTTTTAATATATGTATGTGTTTGTATTTATACATATAATTTTAAAAATATTTTGAATTACCAAAGCGTGTGCTGTGTTAATTCCAATGTTCGTCCGTTGGTCGTTCGTTGCGTTATGATTTTGCTGCGGCCTGCTAGACGAGCCAGCTGCGGCCACTATTTGCAGTCACTTTAGCTGTGGCTATTGTTGTCACATTGACGATCGTTCATTGGATCTCCACGAATTTGTTGTTTTTCCATTTCTATTTCAACACACATAAGGCATACAAAGCACTCAGCACTCACTACACATAGTCGTCTAGGACAAATTTGTTTTTGGACTTTCTTTTCATTCGGCAAATTACACAAGTATTGGTTTCACGTTTTATTCGTTACTCGCTGCGCTGTCACAATGCCGTCACTATTAATGTGGACTAAAGCGTTTTCAGTGTACCTTGAAATGCACACAACCGCGCACACATACCCACACACACACACTAATATTAAAAACTCATACATACATACTCTTAAATTGACTGCGAAGACGCCGGGACATGTGTCAGAGCTGCTGATTTTCACTCGAATATTTTCAATTTTCCCATCAAAGAAAAAAGCATATCGAGCTCTCATTCATGCTGCACTTTGACGATTTTATGAATCCGCTGTGATCTTGGACGTTTCCATGTAGGAAATGCTTATCACTGCACAAATATATGTTTACTTATGTATATATGTTCATATATATGTATGTGGAAGTACTGCCAGCAAACCGCACTTTGGTTGTGCACCCTGTAACGGTGTTTGAAGAACTGCATTAAAAATTGCCGGTGCTTAGCGACTGTCCGACTGCTACAATGACCGCTAATTAAATGCAATCACACGCTGCTGCCAGCAATCGCACGCAATTCATTTCATATTGTATTTATAGTAAATTTCAAAGTACAAAGCAAAAACAAAGAATAAAAACCAAATTAATTGCAATTTAAATTTAAATACTTCGCGACACAGTGCGCTGACCGCAACACACCTCACATTGCCAGCGCAAGAGTTCACAAATACTGAAAATCGGCAGAAATGCAGAGGAAAACTGCATACTGTACAATCTTATCAGTTGCTATTTATATAGCGCATACATATGTGTGTAAGTATGTATGTATGTGTGTGTGTGTGTATTTGCATCGAAAGTAATGGCATCGTCGTTGTCACATCGACAGTACGAGTCGAGTATCTCGACGGAGGAGCAATAAACATCAGCGGCAAAAACAACAACAACAACGGAAAAGTTACATATGAACAGCTATGCAATTGTTTTGTCTCTTTCGCCACTTCTTAGATAATTCTGATCACTCACTGACTATTCCATCTTGATGCTTGCTCATGGTGGGCAAGCGGTTGCCAAAACTTATAAAAAAGAAAAGTGAATAAATACTTTTGTGTGTAAATATGTATGAAGTTGTGTAGCAAAAAAAAAAAAAATAGTAAAAAAATGTTTACACACATACATTAACAGTTACTGGCTACTGGCGATGTAATGACGCAATTAGATTACATATAATTCTTCAAATATGTATGTGTGTATGTTTATGCAGATATGTTCAGGAAAAAGAAAATTTTGCAGCCCAAAAGAAAACTTTTTTTCAACAAATATTAAATTTTGATAAAAGAAATTACACAATATTCACCTGGTAGGGTTTATTCCATTGTAAATGGCAGGTCAAGTAAAAAGTAATCCATCATTTTCGCAATTGGCTTTGGCGATCTGTATCACGCGTTCCACAATTGCGACTGAATTACGCTAGATACCGTTAAAAAGTTGATATTTTATACTAAAAAAAGTTAATGGGAGAAGTGTTGAAGGCCAAAGATGGAAACCAGCGAAGAGAAAATACGCTAAATTCTACAATCTTTCTTCGATGAAGGCGAAAACGCAAGCCAGGCGATTAGAAATGTGAACACTATTCACTATTGTCCTGCTTCTATAGCAGTCACTCATACACAATTGTGATTTCGATTCGTTCCGGGAATATTGATGTAAGAGCTGCTCAACGGAGTGCAAGACCAATTATCGTAAATGTCTGACTGTCATGCTAGTACTGTTTCGATTACCCAGGCACTAGGTACAGCTTAAAAAACATGTGAAAAAGGCTGAATTTCTACTCGAAGCTCGTTGCATGTGCGCCTCATGGGCCGAATTCCCATCTGTGTTTCGTTGCTGAATGTTAACAAATTCGGCTTCAGTACTAGGTGACTGGTGATGAAAAGTGAATCACTTACGGCAACGTCAAACCGGGCGTGGTCGAAGAGCAGTGAGCCGGCACAAATAGCCTCTAAGCCAGAATTGACGGGAAAAAGGTTTTGCTGTGTGTTTTGTGGGATTGGCAAGGAATCATGAACTATGATCTGCTACCCTACGATCAAACTCTTAAATCGAATCTGTACTATCAGGCCCTTTAAAATAATCCCAGTAGTTTCTTTCTTTTATTTTTTGTATGACTTTTTAGCAAAAACTAAATTCCTTCTTTTATTGTGTTTTGTTTTACTTAATTTTATTGTATTCACACACTTCTATGTATATATGAAAGCCACTTTTATGTATGAATGGTGTGTCTAAAGAAAGTGCAACTTATTTCCTTTGCATTTATATAATATATATAGTACATATGTGCTAGACTCGAGACTGCTATGCAAGTCTGTTTACGTACTCGAAACTTTATGTTAAAGATTTCCTCTCAAATCCTCTTGAAATTTTAATAACATTTTATTTCCTAGACGATTACAGTTTTGTAGTGTTTTTCATATGTACAATAAAAATATTATATTTTATATTCAAGATTTTGACTTGCTACATACATTTTTAAATAAAAATAAAATGAGTTGGGATGGATGCTACTGCTTGGTGGCTTTTTGCTGATATCATAATCCTTTCGAACATATGAAGATGGAGTAAACTCAAAGTGTAGTAAACACGTTTTAAACCTTTTTTGCTTAACAGTTGTACCACTGGGTAGATTTTCTAAACATGGGTTGATGCTGTTTTGAGTTCTTATGAGGTATAATTTGAAGAAAATTTATTTTGATGACCAATCATTAATATCAACAGTCTGAGCGATAGGATTTTTCTTCACACTATCATTTATATTCAATCTCTACAAGAAATTCTTATTAAAGTTGTAAGCAAATTTTAGCACTGGCCTACATAAAAGAGTACAGATACTCGTACTAACCATGCGGAGCGCGCATTATACTTTTACCAAGTCAAGGACAAACCAAAGCAGCTGTCTTAACTTTTATAGTAGACTATGTACGTGCTTATTTATGTACAAATATTTCTTTTTCGTAGACTTATTGCTTACTTTACTCGACTAAACAACTTTATATTGTATGACATTGAGTTATATGCCTGTTGTGCTTATATACTTGTGTACATACAAAAGTGTATGTTCTTTGTGGCGTGCACACGAGTTACCTTTTTACATTAAGAATGTACACTAAATAACTACCCATATATTTATTTCGTATTAATGAGTTATTGATTTTACTACATACATACATTCAATAGTTGTAATTGCGATGCGTAGTGTTTAAGGGTAATTACAACAAAACGAAATAGTTATGATTTATAAGTACATACAAAGTTGATTTTTAGACATTGCTCACTAGGCTAATAGTAAATGTTGCGTATACGACATGTTGCACAGCAGACAATTAAGACAAGGTTTGCAGGCGATAGTATAGAAAAAGCGCTACATTTCGAGTGAAAGTTGTGAGTAAGCAATACAACAACAACTATATGAATGTGCAAAAATTAATGTCTATTCAAAAATATGAAAACAATTTAATAAACTTTAAAGTTAATGAACCAAAATAAAAATTTAAAATAAATTAGATTAAATTAAATAAATTTAAACTAAATGAAATTAAATTAAATAAAAAATATATAAAAGAAATAAAATGAAATGAGATAAAAAAATAGTGTAAATTAAAATAAATTAAATAAATTCAAACTAAATGAAATTAAATTAAATAAAAAATATATTAAAAAAACAAAATTAAATGAATTAAAAATAGAATAAACTAAAAAAAAATTAAATAAATTTAAACTAAATGAAATTAAATTAAAAAAATAACTTTTGCAAAAAATAAAATTCTTAAAACAAAACCAAGTTAAATAAACAACATAAAATAAAAAATTAAAAAAGTGAAATAAAATAAAATAAAATCTTAAAATACAAAATAATCAAATAAAGTAGATTAAAAAAACATGAAATTAATTAAATTGATTATAATTAAATAAAATCAAACAGTAACTAAAAGGCAATAAATATAGAATATAAATTAAATGAAATAACATAAAACAAAATTATTAAATTAGAACAAGTGAAAATAATATAAAACAAAACGAAAAAAAGTTAAATGAAGGAAATAAAAAGGAATAAAATAAACTAAAATAAAACCAAATTAAGGTGAATTCAATAAAACTAAAGAAATTTAATCAAACAAAATAAAATAAAACGGAATGAGAAAATTGAAATGGAAAATTTAAATAAATCGAACATAACATAATAAAAAATCATAATTAATTATTAATATTAGAAACAAAAAAGAAATTAATTTACACCAAAACAAAATTAATTAATTAAAATCCAATCAAATCAAATAAATTTAATTATCATCAATTAATCAAAATAAGTTGTATTTTATTTGCAAGAAAAAATAAAATAAAAAATACTATAAAATAATCCATTTCGAGGTTCCCTACTTTTTTTTTTAAAGCAGAACACACAGAAAATTCACATTTCATATTTCAATTGGCCGCGGCTACGTCTCAGATGGTCCATCCGGTTGAGTCCAATTTTTGATGACTCACTTGAGCATTTCGACTGGTAACTGGCGAATGACTTGCGTGTTGTTTTTGCTCCAAAGCCTGAATCGAAGCGGCACTGTTCGCAGAGTAAACCAAAGTAAAGCAAAGGCTTTACATACAGGAAAGTGTAGCGGTGTGATATCACACCCTTTTGGTGGCTAATCTACCGACCCAAAACGAGATATTATCTACTCCCCGAAGTGTACACTCTCCATAAATCCATTTATTGATGTGGTATTTGGGAAGTGGCGCCGTATTGTTGAAACCAAATGCCGCGTAGATCACGAGCTTCAATTTCAAGCATCAAATAGTCCGTTATCAAACATTGGCATTGACTGTTACGTTCTTACCGGCATCATTTGTGAAGAAATATGTACCGTTTAACCCAACCATAAACCATACCAAATCGTTGTTTTTTCTAGTTCAAATGGCAACACTTGAATCTCTTCAGATTACTTTTCGCCGCAAATACGGCAGTTTTGCTTGTTTACATACCCTGAGCCTCATCACTGAACAAAATTTGGCCCAAAAACCTCGGATCTTCTTGGAGCTTTTCAAGAGCCCATAGAGCCGAGCGATGGGGTTTGGGAAGGTCTAGCGGCTTCAGTTTTTGCACAAGCTGTAAATGCGCCACTTCGCGACTTGGCTCC